GGAGCGCCGTGGCCGTGCGCGGCCGGGCAGCACCATCTAGCGCCCTATTTGCACGGGAGATGCTCAATGTTCCTCTCCTCTCCGTGGCTTCCCGCAAGCGGGACCCGGGCGCATTGCAGGAACCCCAAACGGCTGTGATGAAACAGCAGCCCGAGCTGCAACATCCGTGCGGGCTGGAAGAACCGACTGATGCAACTTCCCCGGCTGCAGCGGGCGCCGGGGCAGCCATGGAGCCGGGGCAGCCGGGCAGGTGAGCGCGGGGCCCGCGACGGGACAGCGAGCGGCTCCGGGGGCCTGGGGACGCGGGCGCTGCTGGCCACGGCTCATTGATCCCCCTTGGTGCTGCCGCCTGAGCCTCGTGGGGACAGCCCGGCGCTGGCCGCCCGGGCCAGGCTGGCGGCCCAGGGTTTCTTCCCCTGGTCTATTGAAATGAAACAGTTTTTCTCTCCCCTGCTGCTTCTGGGTCACGGGACAGTCTTGCTTTTCCTGCTGCGGTGGGACGTGCCGAGGAAAAGCCCTTGCCGTATTGCCAGCAGCGGGCAGGCGGGGACGGGCTCGGTGCTCCTGAGTTTGGTCCTGGCAATCCTGCACGGTCCCTGCAGCCCAACGTGCAGCACCCGCTGCGCTTCCAGCCCTGCACGGATGTTGCAGCCCTGGCTGATGCTTCATCACGTTGGTTTCGGGTTCCTGAAACGCGCTTGTGCCCTGCTTGTGGGCACATTGATCCCCTCCCGTACTGTCTGCAAAGGTCCTAGCAACTTTTCTCTTGCAAATCCCTGGTTTATTCTAACTCTGCACTTTTGGGAGCATTTCTAGAGTCCCCCAGGCTGGACCCCTCTCTGGCAGAGATGTGGCTGCAGGCGCTGGTGCCTGGCACGGCGCGGAGCCCTCCGCTCCCCCTCTGGAGCTGGCACACGCTGGAGCGGGAAGCAGCCGGGCAGGTGACAGCGGCAGGGGGGGTCGGGGGGGGGCGCGCGGGGGGGCGCAAGGGCAAGGGAGGAGTGTTGGGAGCAAGCGGCCGTGTCCCAGCTTGCTCGGTGCAGTGTCATTGCACCGTGACACTGCACTGTGACACTGCACCGTGGCACTGCACCATCGTGCTGCACCGTGGCACTGCACCGTCGTGCTGCACCGTCGCGCTGCACCGTGGCGCTGCACCGTAGCCCTGTACCGTGGCACTGCACGGTGGTGCTGCACCGTGGCACACTGTGGCACAGCTCAGCACTGCACTGGGACACTGCACCACGTCGTGCCACGGCATTCCCTGCAGCACTGCATGGCTTTACACCACAGCATTGCACAGATGAGCAGGACAACTTGTGTCTCTTCCCTAGGAGACGCAAACTTCCCTGCTGTGTTGCCCCCTTCAAACTACGGGACATTTCAAGGCGAGGAGAGGTAACGTCTCCGACCTCCTGCTTTTAACCCCAGCAATATGCAGGTCGCCATGCCCCAAGACGGGAGTGACGGGGCTGCAGGCCCGGGGTGATCAGGCAGCAGCCGGGAGCGGTGGGTGGCGGGGGGGATTTCAGGGGGTGAAGTTCGGCACTGGTGGGACGAGGCTCCGGGACAGGACCCCGGGACACCCCACGGAGCCAGCACAGGGGGTGCCCTTAGCAATTCCCAAGCTTCATCCAGGTTTGCCAGGCGGGAATTCCTGGATCGGCTCCAGCTCCAGAGGGTCGCTGGGAGCAGTAGCTGCGGCACCTCAGCAGGGCACCCGCCACCCACTCAGCACCTTGAGCTGCTCCTTTCCATTTTTTTTTCTTTTTTTTTTTTAAACTTCTGGTTAAAGCAACCTGTGAGATTAGCCAGGGTGACATGAAGGGTGATGAGCAAGTGTGAGCTGCTTAGTGACAACCTTGCAGCACCGGAGTGTCTCCAAGATGGGAAAGATGCGGGAAAGATACAAGGATGTAGCCTAGGAGGGAACCCTCCGCTTGGGCAGGCCCAAGAGAAGCCTGCAACCTGCCAGGGAGTCCTCAGTGGTGCTTTATTATTTCCCTCCTCCTTGTGATTAAGAAACGCCAGGAGGGCACGCCAGCCACGCGTTCTTAACCTACCTGTGTTGGGTGCTTTTTGCAGCGTCTTGCACATTTCTGCGGAGGAAGCCAAGGCCGCCCTCGTGCAGTTTGCGGCCAGCAAGTGCTGCTACTCGACGGCCCCGGCGAAGCACATGGTGGTGCGGAGCGTGGCCGCGCTCAACACCTACCGGGTGAGGTGGCAGCGGCGGGTGCCACAGGGTGTCCCTGACCCTCTGTCACGAGCAATCGTGACGTGCACCGTGCAGCGCAGCGTGTTTTCAGCGCAGCGCGGTCGCTAACTCGGCTCCCGCTGCAGTATCGGCTGCACAGCTTCACGGAGAGCCGGCGC